ACGATTATGAGAGAATTAAAGACTGGTGAGATTGGAGTGACTTCTATGTGTATCGGGACCGGTATGGGTGCTGCTGCTGTTTTTGTCAAGGAGTAGGTATATGATGGTTAAAGAAAAAAAGTCTGTCTGCTAAGTTTGTGAGTGTAACATTGACTGGGTTAATCAGCAAGGTTGGTGGTGTCTGTCTGCTAAGCTTGTAAGTGCAGCATTTACTGGTTTAATCAGTAATGTTGGCGGTATCCTCCATCTAACCTTATCTCTGTGAGCAAAGCTTTAAAAATCCAAAGCATACCTTACCCCACGTATGACACTGTATGCCTACATAAATGGCATCTCACAATTCGAGCTTCGGTGCCCAACTTGAGTCAGATTCCTTCTATTCTCACGGTATATACCCAACTCAAACCAAATAGTCCACTCCGTATAATCTTTACTCTTTCCACGATATTGCAGACCAGCTTTGCCAGTCTATAGTTTCTTGAGGGTTGTTCTGTATGCGAGAACCCTACTGGCTATGAATAAAAGTTCAACGTTATGATGCCACGATGAATGGTACAATTACTCTGTCGGAAGCGGTATTCATATTAGCTATACAGGATAAATACTAATTCTCCATGGCGGCGGCCTCGATGATCAACTCCTCGACGGTGAAATCAGGACTGCCGGAGGAAAAGTCAGCGAGAAGCTTCAATCTTCTCTGGTTGGCAGGGGAGTCTTCCAAGGCGCCGTAGAATCTCTGGACGTTCAACACCAACAACTGGGCCTCTGGAAGCGTGATTGACGACTCCTTTTCGACGGCTCCGTTCATCAAGACCAAACCCTGGAGCTCGGACAACTCCGAGTGAAACATCAAAGTGGTGTGTGGTCTTGCATACTCCTTGTGCAACTTGTACTCCGCCACGGTGGTGATCATACAGTGGGCGGTGTGCGGCCCCACAAAGGCCCATTGCACAAAGTGCATTTCCACACCATCACTGTTGTCCTTAGGTAACGGCAAGATAAACATCGCATGCTTTCTGGCGTTATCGTACATTCTCTTGAAAATTCGGGTAGGGGCGACCGCGTGCATCGCACCCTCCTTGCCCAAGAAACGAGCCCTCCAGATGAACTCCACCTCCTGTTTGGTCAACTGGCTAATCTTGTTGACGTCAACAAACGATTCCAAGGTCTTGAATGGCTTTTCTGGCACTTCTGCGGATCTAGGTCCTCTGGCTTTTTTCTCCGTGGCCTTCTTGGCCTTATGTTCCTCGGCCATTTTGATTTCGTATTCTTCTAATTCTTTCAACGGGTCAATTTTGTCAAACGTTTGCTTGTGCGTATCAATCTGATGTTTCAACTTGGCTTGAAGGTCGTTGATATCACTAGCACCGACTCTGACAGGTTAGTACGAGGCAGGAATAAGCGGTAATGTGACATACTGTTGAGCTTTTTGTTCGAGCTTTTCTTTGTATCGGGCAAAGGTGTCTTCGTTTTTGGAAGACTGGAGGAATCTGGCGACTACTGGGGATTGCTTGAGAAGACTGGTGTTGAAGTTTCTAGCGGAGTAGTTGTATAACCCTCTCAACATGGCGTAGAGGTGTGAAACGTTACTGGCCGTTTGGATTTTTCACCCAGGCCTTAAATAGAGTTGGAAAAGAATCAGCCGCGGGTGTCTGGTAGGGGAACGTACCGAATGCTATAGAGTCTCGCGGATATCGTGTAGTCACAGGGAGTGGTGGAATACCATAGCACAGTACAAGCTATTAAAAGTTTATATAATCAAAGGGATAGATATACGGGGTTGTAAGTATTTTTTGGCGCTTGACTCTAAATATCTTCCAAATTTTACTAACTCTCGGGTCTGGAACGTACCAGTTCGATAATCTAGAGGTTGGTTATATTCTACGTTTTGGTGTATACATCCAGTCTTTTTTCTCACCAGAGTTCGCCTCTATGGCCAAGTTGGTAAGGCACCTCACTAGTAATGAGGAGATCGTCAGTTCGAATCTGGCTGGAGGCATCTTTTTTTTTCATGATTATGCGGGATGCCGTGCGTCTGCCTGGCATAACCCAGGGATGATTGCTCCGGATCTATGATTTAATCGAGCTATTTAAACCAATGTTTCCACTTTCCTTGACAAAACTCTTTAACAATTCTTAAACTCAGCAAAATCTCTATCCACAATGAATATCTTCAAATCTATGACCACTTCCTTGACTGAATCCTTGGGCCAACATGACATCGAGCGCGACGTGTTAAAGGCCCCCGGATTCAAGTCCCAGGGGATTTTGACCGTGGAATACACCTCTGAGGGCAAATCCCAACCGGTAGCCTTGGGGAACGTCTTACCTGTAGGTGATGTCCAGTACAAGCCCCAGGTTTCCTTCACGTTACACCCAGAATCCGGTGCGGAGATCAAGCCTGGCGACCAGTTCGCGTTAATCTTGACTGACCCTGACGCCCCATCCAGAACCGAAAAGAAGTGGTCCGAGTACTGCCACTGGATTGTCTCTGGTTTGACATTGACCCCGACCTCGAATGCCAAGATTGAGTCCAAAGAAGCGCCCGTGGAGTCAATCTCCACCCTCTTGGATCTTTCCAAGGGGAGTAACTTGATCAGTTACATGGGGCCAGCCCCACCACCTGGGACCGGGAAGCATAGATATGTTTTCTTGTTTTTAAAGGTGAACCAGGGTGTCACCTTGGAGGCACCAAAGGACAGGCCAAACTGGGGTACCGGTGTACCTGCCAGCGGGTTCCACGAATGGTTTGCCGGTAAGGGTGAGATCTGGGGCGTCAACTTCTTTAACGCTGAAAACACTAAGAAAGAGTAATATCCCAATTAGTCTTTGGCTGCCTTTTTAATACGTCCTCACACGTAATATATGCTTCTATTTAAGTTTTGTGCAGCTTTTAGCTCAGCAGGTACCGATAGCATGGCGAGGAAAGTGAATGCCTCGACGAAAACTCTACTGATACTTTAGTAAACCTTTCGTTTAGCCATGAGCTAGCAGGAGTAACCGCGCCTTACCCTACCTTCCCGAAGTGCCACGCGTCTGGCCGTTTATAATATACATTAGCGATCCCTAGAATACATAACCTAAAATTCCTCCTCGACAGTGAACGCGCCCGCATCTACCGTCCCCACGTCCAAGTCGACGTTATCGTGGGTATACGCAAACTCGGGTGCGGGCATCGGTACGTCCTGCCACTCGTCAGCTGGCCCGGTAGCGGTCTCCTGCTCTTGCTTCTGCTGCGCGAGCTGCTGCTGATGCAAGAGCTGCTGTTGCAACAAATGCTGCTGTAGCAAGTTTTGCTGGTGCTGCTGGTTGAAGTTGTTCTTGGCGGACGCGTCCTCCACGGGAGCGGGGTCGTGGGTAGGCAAATGCGCATAGCTGACCAGCGAGCGCGACAGCGACGGCTGTGAGTGGTGCGCGGGTGCAGGCGCGGGTGCAGACGAAGACGGCGCACGTTTGGGCTTTTCCTCCTCGCGTGGCACAATGTCGATCAAAAAGTCAAACATATCGCTCTTCGTCAATGCCGCAGCGATATCTGAGCGCTGCAACGTGCGGCGCTTATTCTCTTCTGCATGAATCCACGCGCGCATTGTCAACTCGGTGATGAATATGTCACAGCCTTTGGCAAACAAGATTGGCGCCTCCGCGCTGATCATGCGCACTTCGTCATCGGTCTTCATGACCTTCTTGATGCGCGCCAACGGGAGCTGGTGATTCTTGAAGTCGTGTTCGTCGTGTTCAATCGAGTTGATTGTCTCCTGCCAATACTGCATCATCATTGTGCGATAGCGGCCGTTCAATCCTTGACCCACATTGCTAAAGACGCCCCCAGACATGTCGTCCTCCTCCGGAGCTGTCTCAATCGCGCCCGCCTCCTCAGTATGTGGCTGTGACATCTGGTATATCTGGTCGTCATCGTTGAGGTACTGCTGGTCAAACCGCTCAAACGGGAGGTTTTGGTCCATTGTGTGAATAAGGGTCTGAGAATGTATCAGATGTGGAGGTAGATAAGATGTTTGTTAAGCGCCGAGTTTTCAGAAGCGGTAAGAGCGCATGTCGCGGTAAGAGCGCATGTTGCGGTTTACACTTAGCGGGGTAATTCTGGGAACAGTAGACTAGTGTAAATGGCAGCGTAGCCACACCGTTTGCTAATGGAATGAATAAAAAGATTAGAATGAATAAAAGGATTAGAATGAATAAAAGGATTAGAATGAATAGAAATGATTTAAAAAAAATTAAAAGTAACTCCTTAAACTAGTTTGAAATATGTAACGTGATCATTATTGGTGGGGGTTTAGTAAGGGTTAAAACGGAAAGTGACACAGCTGTAAGCGCAGATAGTTTGGATGATACAGATCACGTGCACCGGTCGTTTCCGGAACGTTAAACCGTATTTGTGCATAATATTGGTCCAGTATGAATAACGGAAGACTCGGTTCGCTTATAAGATAGTCTTGGTTTAATGAAGATAGTCTGGGATATCTCAGATATAATGAAAAGCCGGTGTTATCCCCTCGTACAGAAATCGTGTCTCTGTTCTGTGTGCATGTTGCTACCGGAACTTGGCCGATTTTCGCCTTGCACATGTACACGTTATTGGGAAATAGTGGTAGTGATGCATTTCATGGATTTATAGCTCTGAGACTTGGTCGATGTTTTTCTGAGTCTTGTAGCTATACCGAAATTAGCCTATTGTGGCATTACCAAGGGCTCCTTCCTTATCTGGATCCCCTGGTTTTCGTGCCAAGATTAACGGCCACATCAGCGTAATAGATACGTGGCTTACCCAACAAGATCGACATCATATGAGGGTTTTGGGCTATTCTAAGGGTTATATTGGCGATAATATCGGCAAGCACAATGGTTTATTCACAAATCTGTATAAATTCTTAGGCGTGATAAAACGGTAAGGCTGGAGTGTGGAGAAACAGTCATGCTTTTCGTGGTACTGCGGCACGTGCTTGGAGTATCCACTATGTCACACTACAGAGAAGTCACGAGATTCAATATCCCAACAGCTGGACCTACGTCAACATTACACTACTCCCACACTTCCTATATCAAGTCTTATCACTCTCCTGGTACATCTTTTTCGGCTCCTTAGTCCACGCCTTGAAAGTTTGCCATTCCATTAGACGCCACTTTCGCCTATCAGACCCCTCATTTAATCACCCGTAAAGCTTGCTGTTCATGTCCAAACCATTCACACCCATTTCGTCCTTCCAGTCCACGTCCAAGTTGACACGAAAGAAGTTGGACGATATCTATGCGGAGCCCGAAAACTTCCTAGAAATCGAGGTCAGAAACCCACTTACCCACACCAGCGGCGGCAATACGTACACCGACTACGAAATCATCTGCCGCACCAATTTGCCTACATTCCAGAACCGGGAGTCGGTCGTACGCCGGCGCTATTCAGACTTTGAGCTTTTCAAGAAGATTTTGGAGTCTGCCCCAGGCACTAGCACCCGGGTCATCATCCCGAGTTTGCCTGGGAAGGTTTTCACTAGCAAACGCTTCGACTTTGAGGTGATAGAGAAACGCCGTGCCGGGTTGGAAAAGTTTTTGGTGGTGGTTGCTGGCCATCCGTTGCTCCAGACCGGCTGTGGCAAGTTGCTCAGCAGCTTCATCCAAGACGCCGGGGTCTGGGACAAGTACAGGAACTATTGAGGGTAATACAGTAATCAGACTCGTGTCTCATTTATTTCATCCCCAGTTTCATGGGTTCCAAAGGCGTTATTCTCTTTATTTTACCAATATTGCAATCTCGTTTTTTCTGGGAAACTCCGGGTATTGAGTCTCATAACCGCTACAAGGTTAGCCCGAATATTTCTTCGTTCATCCGTGTTGCCTTTAAAGAAAAATTCATTCCCACCTTGGTATGCTGATCGGGCTCGTTCGATTCTTCGCATTTTACTTACATCTTATTATCTATGCCCTTTTGTCAGTGTACATCCCCCAATCGACGTTGGCGACTGGCTGGCCCCTCCTCAGAATGGCACAGGCCGTAACTAGGGGCCATCTATCCCGTATGCCCTGTTAATATAGCGAAGTATCTATGTTTGAAGCAACCCTCTAAACCACTAACCTCAATAAGACAAGGATTATAAACACAGGCTTGAAACCCAGATTAGCGCATTAAGATATGGCCATTCTGATGGCGTATGTATCAAGATCTATTCCTTTGTGGGAACCCCCATGTTAGCTCTAAGAATGTATCTCTTTAGACACTATCAGATTCAAACTGTTAAGCATAATGGCGTAGATTCAAACTCTTAGGCATAATGGCGTAGGTTCAACCCATACACCATGCTCAGCTGGTCATTACCAGCCTTGGCCCCTCTAGTACTCTCAGACACGGCATACACTGGACAGGTAGTCAATTAATAAACGTCATGACAGCCTCCAGTAGCACCTGCCGTCTCTTTTCTAGCACCGCCTGCAACACCGTGAAATATCTCTCGTCTCTTATCGCGGCCAACGATTCTGGCAACGTCACTTTCAGCACTGCCTCGCCAACGGCCACAAGTTGCGGCCTCTTTGTCTTCCAGTCGTAAAACGTCGCATCCTCAAACAAGGCATCCATGGTGGCTGTAAAATCCAGAAAGATCTCTCGGCTAAACTTTCGCCAGGACTCATCAAAGGCCGCGACATAGGGATAGTTTACAGGGTCCTCAGAAACACGCTCTATAGCAGAGGTCTGACCTTGAAGTGTTTCCACCGCATCGGCACACTTCTCCGCAACCCATGCCACATCCAGCTTTAACAACGAAGTGTCTCGTGTATCGGGAATCAGCGCGTTGAGCGCGGCGAAAGCCTTGGCCAACTGGCCGTACATCGCTATATGCGCCTTGTGGATGAATCCAAGATCCTGGGTAATGCGGGTAAAGTAATCAGGCATGTCTGGTGAGGTCCGTCTTCGTTTTAGTGGGTGGTCGAAAGCGCCGAAATCCCCCATTTATTCATGAGTCATAGGATGACTGCTAACGGAAGCTACATCCGAAGCTGGATATGTCCTCGGCCCTTAAAAAAAAGATTCTTACCGACGTGCAGGTGCCAAAGGTCATGTGACATCACTGTGATGTGCACGTGACATACGACACCGCGCACGCCCTGCCGCTGGAAAACTTTTTATGGATTGCCTAATCGGGCCGAAACCAAAACACAATTAACGATGCGCGGCACGAAATTTCACATTTTTGTACCCCCTAGCGCTGCTCCACGCCTGAGACCGCAAACACCCTCACCAGTTCTGGAAAGCATGCATACTGGTTGTTTTGCTACCGTCCGCTTTGAGCCAGTCGTTTCTTTTTGCGTCCTTGCTCCTGGAAGGAACTGTCATAACTTGAGGGCTATTTCCTCTAGCTTTCGCCTTCATACGATCAATCACACTTTAAAGCTCCCTCACCAAACAAAGACCATACCATTCGTTTACCCTCTCCTGGTCTTCATTCTCGGGCATCTTTGACCTTTCAGCATTAGCATTCAGCATTGGCATTCATTCATGTCGCTATACCTCGACACGCCAAAGTCAACGACCTCACATCGCCACGGAAGCACCAAGTGCAATGCAGACCCGTTGCCTTCCCCGTTCGGGCGAAAACCGCTTCTCACAACGTCAGTGAATCGTCCGGCAACTGCATCGCCCCACAAGCGCGTGGCCTTCAACCCAGTATCGCCCACCCCGCAAGCAGCAAAGAGTCTTCTTTCACCAAAATTCGACGTAGTAAAGTCAGACTGGCTCAGCGAACAGGCCACGCGCACGTGCTCTCCCGGACGGCGCCGGCTCGTTCGGACCCTGACTGCGGATCGCTTTATCCCGTCGCGCGCGCTGACCGCGCACCGCCTCCACGACGACGCACCCGCACCCGCGGCCAGCGCGTCGCCCGAAACATACATCCGTGCACAAACCTCCAAGTACTACAAATCCTCCGTTGCGGTGGCTTGTGGCTTGGACATGAACCAGCGCATTCTCCAGTTCCAACCCGCACCGCCAGAGCGCAAACCCACGATCGACCTACTCGGCCGAGGCGTCCAAACCGTGACGCGCACGCTCAAACCATCCATCGTCGCCGCGCGCGCGCGCAAGGTGCCCACCAGCCCCGAGCGCGTGCTCGATGCGCCTGGAATCGTGGACGATTTTTACCTTAACCTCCTCTCCTGGTCGCCACAAAACCTCCTCAGTATTGCGCTCGAGCTGTCTATATACATCTGGAACGCATCTACTGGCCATGTGGGGTTTCTCACCGAAACGGACGTGCTTGTATCATCGCTCCGGTGGCTGGACGATGGATGCTATCTCAGTATCGGTAAGGAAAACGGGTCTCTCGAAGTCTGGGACATAGAGTCCAATTCCAAGCTCCGTACGATGAAGGGCTCCGACGATCTTACGCGGCTTCTGTCGCACTGCTGGTCGTCACACCTCATCACGTCTGGGTCGCGCGCGGGCAACATCGTACACCACGACGTACGTGTGCTGCAGCACGCAGTACAGACGATCACGAACGCGCACAAGGCCGAGGTGTGTGGCTTGGAGTGGCGCGCGGACGGTATGCAGTTTGCACTGGGCGGCAACGACAACGTGGTGCATCTCTGGGATGCGCGTGCAGCGGTGCCGCGTTTCAGCAAGACCGCGCACAACGCCGCGGTTAAGGCGCTCGCGTGGTGCCCCACACAGACGAGCTTGCTCGCCACCGGTGGCGGATCCACCGACAAATACATTCATTTCTGGAACACCACCACGGGCGCGCGCGTGAATTCTATCGATACTGGGTCCCAGATCTCGTCCCTTAAGTGGGGCTACAGCTATGGAACGGGGCAGGAGATCATGGCAACACACGGGTATCCAGATAACTCGATAGGGGTCTACAGTTATCCAACGTTGCAGAAGACGGGGGAGATTGTGCGCGCGCACGATTCGCGCATATTGCACAGCGCATTATCGCCGGACGGCACTACTGTCGCAACAACAAGCGGCGATGAGAATCTAAAGTTCTGGAAGGTGTGGGATTTGCCAAAGGCGCGGGTAGGCGGCGAGAGTACGCTTGCAGAGAATGACAAACAGATGCGGAAGGTTATGACGATTAGATAGTGAACCGATAACTGTGATTGTTTGCCTTTTTGGTTTACTGGACATAAAGCTATAAGCGCAGAGGAGGAGTAAAATTCCAGGATAAAAACTGGACACAACAAAAGCCAAGCACTGCCTACGGAGAATAAAAAGTAAGGAAATATCCACAAGCATGGTGATTCACAGGCATAGCGATTTACAATCTGGTTTGTTTGCTCACGGTGCACTGGCCAAATCTTGAATGGAATATGCATATTGGTGTGGTTACAAAATTCAGTTGGCCATCCGTCTCACCAAAGCTCTTAAAAGGTTTTAAATCTTCATCATGGCTAATTGCTTTGAATTCACGTGCCATCAAAAATAGTCTTTGAGTAAGTAATTTAATTACATTATTAGTATCCCGGGTAAAATAATTGCCTATCAGTGGGCTGTAACTTTGCGTTGCTTTAAGATTTTTTCGGCGATTTTTTATTATTGGTAAGTCAGTGGTGGCAGAGGGTGGGGTTCGACCTGGGAATACTGCCCAGGGGTTTGGCTATTTCATTAATCTCTACTTTTTGGTCACAAAGTGCTTTGTTTCTGGACTGGTGGCCTCTAAGAGTTGGCTCTCAGCTTGACCGTAATCTTAGCTTCCTGTCTAAATATTTGGGGGGCCTGAATCTTCAACTATATCAGACCCGTTTTACTGATCTATTAAGCGCATATGACTCAGTAGAATTTACACCGGGAGGCAATCTCTAACCATTCATAACCTTTTGGTAGGACGTATATACTAGTTTAATAAGCTACTGATGTTGCTTGTTCTTCGAAGCATCATCAATACTTCTGCCCCGTCCACTTCTGCCCCATTCACCTCGTCGCTCCCTTTCACAGCTTTCATCATTGGTGAGCCTCCTTCGGAAATACAGCCGTTTCTAGCAGGCACGATCCCCGTATGAGATTTTCCCTTCTCGGTCGTGTCTAACACTGACAGAGAGATGATGAAGGAGGACTCAAGAGCGGAATCAGGGAGGGTAAACAGGTGGACTGGTGGTGTCTGAGCGTTGGCCAGCGGTGTTCCCGGAAGCGACAGACTGCGAACCACAACTAATTTCGGATCAAGTTTCGGGGACAGGGAAAGTGGTTTCAGGGGAGCCACAGGCTTTACAAAGCTGGTGGAATTGCGGTATGGTGTCATCTGGGGAGTGATGACTGGACTGGGAAGCTGAAGGTCGGCGCCCAATCCAGAATACGAACCTGAGAATGAAATAGACGATGCAGAACGCTTTCTGATATACTTAAGCGACGGGTCTCTAACAATATCCTTCTCCTTCAACGGGTCCACCTGTGAAGGCTGTTTACGGGATGGCGGTGGATTCATGGCCTGGTGGAAATCAAAGTCCTGCTCGATATTCCGGTACTCGTTGATATTGAGTCCAAACTGTGTGAACCCGATGTCAAACAGCTCCCACTTGTTCGCTGAGGGGGCCTGGGTCGCCAACTCGGTGTTCTGAAGCTCTATGATGCGGTGGAGGTAGAGAATGTATTCGACAGAAGCTTGCAAAATAGTAAGCTTGTGCATCCCATCGATCTTACCGTTGTTGCTAGAAGAGGCAGCAGAACTAGCGATGGAGGCCCCCATGGGCGGCGACTGCAACAGGTTGGCCTCTCTACATGCTGGGATCAAGAATTTCAACGCTTCAAACTCGCGGTTCATTTTGATCCTGCGTTTCTTCTCAATGATCGAGTGCGCCGTTTTGTTTTCTTGCTTTCTCTTGGCCAATTCCGTAGGACTGATGGAGTTTGACGAGCGTCTTCTGCGTTTCACTGCCGGTGCCTCATCCAGTGGATAGAGAAGCGGGGATGAAGCGTAGCCTTTTGGACCCATGAGAGGAGACGGCTTCGGCAAAGCTGGCGGCGCATAGTCCACCGGAAACAGCAGTGAGAGCTCGTAGTCGTTCGAAAACACGGAGTTTGTGTTGGAAATCACCGGCGAGAAGGATGTTTTCATCTGAATGATTGTGGGTTTGAATTTTGGCGGTGGAGGCACCATGTTTGGGTGCTGTGTGGTGGTGTTTGGCATTAAGCTATTAGTGGAGCTTGTGGAGGGTACACCAATATTTATGGTTGAAGTATTGTTATATCGTCTTGCTACAACCCTTAAACGATGCTTTGCAGAGTGGTACGTTTAGGACGTTGGACTTGTGGGGTCAAGTCTATCCGGGTCTTGTGCAGGTTTCCGGCTATATATAGGATATGTAACCAACCGAACCGGCGAGAGCTATACCAATAGTAACAGCAAGTAGACCGAAAACGTTTTGGCCCAAATTACTGGTGTTCCAATTTACAGTATTGGCACCGGTGGAAACCTTTACGACCATGGGTGTGCATCTGACCAATTAATTAAACCTTAAACGTACGCTCGCGTGCCATGGAACTAGTTAATTACGAAGCCTGGAGAGTCTGGGCTGTCCGATTCTCAGAGATTCTGTACCCTCCCTGGGTGCCGTCCGCCTCCCATCTTCCCTCTTTGTACTATTATCGGTGGAATCTACATATATGGTCGCATTTTATGCAGAGGCACACGCACAGAAGGTTGAAAATGGGGCCCACGTGCGAGCCTAATTGCGGGTCCAATTTCTGTCCCTGCAGAGAGGCGACGCACGTGCAACATTGGTCCACGCGAGTCTACAAAATTGTTGGTAAAGGTAAGTGACAACTCGTCATTATTGCTAGCTGGCTGGGGGGATCCTCGAACGTTACCGGGAGAGTAGTTTTGAGATTAAGGGCCTGGGTCGGATGCGATACGAAAGCTTGAATCGACATCCACGTGCATTAAGCCAGGTCGCTCTGGTACCTTGTTTTGTTGTGGCCTAGAAACGTTCTGGCAGAGGGTGCAAATTTAAAGTGTTCTATAGGCTTTTAGCCCTGCTATCTCTTCTATAGCCATGCCAGAGTTCCAAGCACTGTATGAACCGTGTCTGGCTGTGGTGTCCCCCGTTGGAGAGTCTTCCAAAACCACCCGGCATTTCCAGTCATAAAAGCTGACATCTACTCTGTTGCTGTTATATATTGTACTGCCAAGAATGTACACCGCTACCTTTGTATCTCATCTGGCCATCCGTATGGAACGCCGTGTGCTATTCCACGTGCGCCAGCTCCCAGCTTTTGACACATATAATACATTGAATGCAGAACATCTTATCGGCATCCGTGTTAAGCTCCCCACGTGCCTCTATATTATGGCACTGATTATGCACCAATCCCAAGCTCACGCGAGCCTTATGAACATGCAGGAAGCCCGCAGCTGTAAACTCCAAGACACAGACCACAATTACGATTTTCCAGCTGAGGTGCTCATAAAAAACAGTCTTGGGTAGGCTTACGAGAGAGTTAATGCACTGAAAAAAGATCGTGCGCTCATCTCGTCTAACAGCCATGAGATAAGTCCATATAGCACCGTTGATGAGTCTCAAAAAAACGGTTACAACCATAACCTTTTTATCTGGTGATACTCACACCCGGCTTGAAACAAGTGGCGGTTGCATTGTAATATCAAAGCAATTAATTGTTGTACTGGGTGCGACATCTGAGGACCAACATCTTGCTAGTGTGCAAAAGGTGCCATTTGAGCATATTATGGTCTCCCATAAAGTTTAGAGCCCTTGGGATTGATAAGTGGCAGCCTAGGATTGGCATCATGGAAAACGTGGGGTCAGGGACATGTCCAGCAGGCCTTCTGTCTTCACGGCACGTTGAAATTGTAAGTGGAAGGCCGTGTCTCAGAGCAGTTAAGTCCTCTAGTCTATTTTTAGCTTCAGGTCTTGGACTGTCTCTCATACACGAGGATCCTATACCCGTGTGGATCACCTCCTTTATTCATCACAAAGGTAAGATATACAAAACTCAAATGTATCTCCGAGAGATAAATCAACCAAAGTTGATTCTAAATTTAGAGCGTGTAACGCGAGAAAGTAATAGCACGTAAAACGTAAATGTGGGGATACTACTCATGACTAAAAGATAGTTTCCCCGCCACAATCACACAAGGGGGGACTTATTCCAACCTTGGTGGGATGCTAGTCTAATTTGGGAAACTGATGGGGATGAACAATACACGTGACATGATATTGTTCAACTTATCTGGTTGTGGTTTAAATCGAATAAAGCCTATCGCATGAGTACCTTTTGTAGGTATAACGGTTAGTTTATTATAGAAACAGCGTAAAAGAGTGTTCAGGGACAATCAGCAAATGGTAGATCTATCATGTAACTTGGTTTTCTCACATTCTTAGACTCTTTCAGAACCATCAAGTTATCAGGGGGCTATCGTTTTCGATGAAAAGGTGTTTTTCCATATTAGTTACATCATCTATATCGTGGGCTCTGTTTAGGAAAATATTCCTCAGGAAGGAGTAATGCAGCGTGGTTATTTTCTCTCATAAACTCTATGACGTCGATTGCCAAGCCAGTATCTGGCATCTCGGAGATATGTATGAGGCACACACAGCTTTCTAGCTCAGACCTACGGTATTTTCCTCCAAGCCACACCGTGTCACTAGATTTGTATTTCTTTAAACATTTTCAGATGGATTGCCTACTCCGATCAGGAACTTACCTACATCACAATTTGCCCCGATAGTTGGTATAACTCCCATGGTGGTTTGGACCTACCACACTCGTGCATGGAAGCGTATAAAGTGACGACAATACCACCAACAGCCAAGTTACTATCTTGCAGAATGTAAATTACATCTGACTTTTGTCGGCTCGTTATCGGTTGTGTTTACCATAATTTTTACGTCTATCCCTGTCCGTAGCACGTGCTACCTTTCTCTTCCTGGCGAATATACACGTGATGTAGTTCGGCTCTCCCGCCAGTTTCGAAGGATGTCCCCGCTCCTGCACCCTCAATCGCAGGTTTCCCCGTTCCAGCAAAAAGGGGTCCGCACTGCCGCCAAATAGACACCAACACAGACCATATGTTTCCGGCGGCGGCAAACCATTTTGTCACTTGTATTTCCTCTTTTTTATGTCCACTTAACCACCAAAATAACCCCCGTTCTTGCTCCAAATGATGGACCACGGCCGTTATCGGACGGTGACTCGCCTAGCATGACTACGTGCCCCCACCAGTCCCCGCCACGGCACTGATCCTTGGCGTGGTTGGTATGTAAACTAAGGCCACACTTTTTTTTTTATTTTTTTCATCCAACCTTTATTTGCATCCCCGCAAAGCCTCCACCTCGTCCTAGATTTTCTTTTCGCATCTTATCGTTAGTGTTTAAAATATACCGGTCAAGGTTGGTGATAGATTCTTGCCGTCTTGTTTAACGCCACAGTTTGTCATACCACTTACAAAAAACAACCCTGCGAGCTCCCCCCCCCCCCCCCCCCCCTGACATTTTGCTCTTTCAGCCTGCAATGTCCTTCTTCTCGCGGTTCCACCACTCGAATCCTGCCCCTGGCCGACTTGCGAAGCCGACCAGGTCTGGTAAGCCGCCCCCGTTCATCCTCACGGTAACCTTGGAGCTGCCCCCAATCATCCTTTATGGACCTCCCACCCAGTCCACCGGCTCCCTCCTCTCTGGACTACTCCGCTTGGAGGTCCCAGAACCCTTCCTTGATCTCTCCTCCATCTCTTCGTACCCAGCATCCGGTAGCTCCTCCATCGCGGTCTCCCCCCAGCTAATGCCCGTCCGTTCGCACCAAGTAACCTCCTCAACAGCCACATCTGTGCAAATCAACAAGGTCACGCTTTATCTCCAGCAAACGATCCAGTATGCGAAACCCTTTGTGGCGCCATCTACTGCGCTTGCCTCCTGCGCCGATTGCCGCACGCAGACCACGGAGCTTGCGCGCTGGGACGTACTCACGCAGCCGGCACAATTCCAGCAGGGCTCACAGGCGTTTCCTTTCTCACACTTGCTTCCGGGCTCCCTTCCTGCGAGTTCGCACCTTGGACTGAACTCTAGCTCGTTCATCCGTTATCAGCTTGTGGCCGAGGGCTCCACCGGCGCCCAGACCATCCGATGCGTGCTTCCGCTTCACATTCTGCGCTCCATCCTCCGCGGGCCGGACCGGACATCTCTCAGAGTGTTTCCTCCAACCGATGTGACGGCCACTGCGGTGTTGCCCAACGTGGTCCACCCGAAGTCACACTTCCCGCTTGAGATCAAGTTAGACAACATCACCACCAAGGAACGACGCTGGCGCATGCGCAAGCTCAGCTGGCGGATCGAGGAGACCGTCAAGGTCAGGGCCAGCGCGTGCAAAAACCACATATTTAAGCTCAAGGTTGTGGAGCAGCACCAGCGTAGCGTAAAGTCCCTCCCGACCAAGAGCGCCCCAGGAAACAGCGGTTACCACCCGGTCCAGACATCCATGTCGGTTACCCCTGCGCCTGCCCCGGTCATGGGACCCGCCAGCAACCCTGACGAGACTGGTGATCGCGATCTCGAGTACGACGAGGCGGCCGAGAGACATCCGGCCGAGAGGCATCCGGCCGACGATGAGGCAAGTACTCCCGGTACCCCGGGAACCCCTCAAACGACGCCTGCCGCGGACCACTTGTACGTGGAGGAAGTCCGAACCGTGACCCACGGCGAGGTCAAGTCCGGGTGGAAATCAGACTTCTCGGGCCGGGGCAAGATCGAACTCGTCGCAGAAATCAACGCGATCGAGCTATCCACCGGGATCAACCAGCATATTGCTGCGGCCTCAAGCGCTGGAGATATGAGCGAGCCGGGTACCCCAGTATTAGCCAGTTCTGGAGCCTCGTCCGCATCGTCAGTCGCCTCCAAGTACGGCCTTCCAAACGTCTCGTGTGACATTGACGACCCGACGTTAGGGGTTCAGGTCAGCCACATGCTCATTGTCGAGGTGGTGATTGCCGAGGAGTTGCTCCAGAGCGCAGTGGGCGGTGGTCTCCATTCGACAGCTCCGTCTCCGGCGCCCTCACGCCCCGGAACGCCGTCTGTAGGCAGCCCTGCGCCGGCGCCTGTCGCGACAGTTGTGGGGATCCCCACCGGTGCGGCCAGAGTGCTTAGGATGCAGTTCAAGCTTTTCTTAACGGAGAGATCCGGGTTAGGGATTTCGTGGGATGATGAGGTGCCCCCAACGTATGAAGCCGTTAAAGCGCTTTCGCCCCCAATGTACTCCACCGGGACGGAAACACCGATGTTTGGCAGCGTCAGCATGTTGAACACGCCGGTGATGCGTACGCTGGGTGTGTTGATTGGTAGCACGCCAGGAGCTTCGGGGATCGATAATGTTTTGGATGTAGACGAGAGAATCCAGGAGTTGAACTTGTAAATGCGAGGCGTTTGGTATTTGAAATAGATAATGAGTCATGATGGAAAGAACCAGGTGTAGATGGAACTTCGGCTTTAAATTGGGTTAGATTCCGATAGGAAAGGGGTTATACGTTATGATAATCATGCACTTGGAACAACATAACTGGGGGTTTAAGTTAAATATAGAACTTGTGCTCCATAATCCCCCCCCCCCCCCCCTAGAACGCAGACTGGTTGCTTTACAACCAAGGGGCGACGGATTTCTTGCCTCGGTTTCTCACCCGGCTTAATTTCCCTTACATATTTCTATATTGTAATATACAAAGAGGTTCTGGGCCACGACAAAAAGCAAGAAACGAACGGAAACGAATAAAATACATCAGTAACACCAGAACCCAGCAACGTCACTCAGACAGCTGAGGAGATAACCCAACCATATGCAAAGACAAAGGCGTGAGAGGAAACAACGCCAACAATCAAGGAAGACACAATCTTTGCGTAAATGCATCAATGTCTCCACGGATAGACCCCTTGTCCAGTCAGTCATTCAAGCGGTCTCTCTCGGAAATATTTTGAGTGAATCCTCTCTGAACGGCAGAATCTATTTCGGGCGCTCTTGGGTCAAAAAAAAAAAGCTCTGCATGTTCCTCGGTGCAGAGAAGGATTCTTTCGGGGATATGTACCTATTCTAGCGGCTTCTTTTTCCCCTCCCAATACCGCTTGTTCTCCATGACCAACTCGTACGCAAATTTTAACTCCGGGAACACCTCACCCGTCAATGCAAACAAACTCTCGGCAAACGTCGAAATAAAAAACAACTGGCCGCTCACTAAGCCCAGGTGGGTGGCCACTGCCTCGTCCGCCGACAGAGGCAAGGGCGCATACGCACACGCTGCGGCCGCAGCGCTAGGCAAGTTCCCGTCTAGTGTCTGTTGCAAAAGCGCAACCTCGCCGAACTCGCGCCCGAGCACAACGCCCCACTGTGCGGACACTCGGAGTGGGCGCGAGACGTTGGAGATGTCCGCACACTTGATGAGAAGCTCGCACACGAGTGAACGGTCCGCACGTGTGAGCGCATGCGTACTGGCGGTCGCGCGCGCCTTCTCAATGTACTCGAAATGGTGCGCCATGTCGGTTGCGAGGATTGCCTCGCGGATGAGCTCACGGTACACGGGCTCGACCCATTCAGTGGTGATAAACAGCGACACAATCGAGGCAAACTCCGCGCAGTGGTAGTTTTCAAACACGGAGCGACCATTGTAGAGCATCGCGAGGAAGCCGCGGTTCTGGATGGTGAACGCATTGGTTGTTCCAGGATGGCCCGTGTCGTGGCCCACGGCCGCGAGGAGGAGGAGAAGGCAGTCCATGGGTGTGAGGAGCGGGTCGGACGCACACGAAGTGGCGGCCATAATGGATGCGTCAGGCTCAGGAATAGAAAGAGTGTCGCGGTGCGAGGCTGTCGCACTGTCATCGGCCGGGGTCGAATCCTGTGAGAGCGTGGGATTCTCGCCCTCTCCAAGATCTACCTCGCGATTCGGGTCGTTTTCAAACTCCTCAAACTCACGGAAGCGCGGCACACACCCTAACTTGACCAAGAAGTAGAAGCTCACCTGTACCACGTCCACCGCGTGGCGGAAGTTGTGGAACGGATTACCCGCGCGGTAGGCCATGCGTGTGAGAAACAAGAAAGTGAGCGTACGGTTGAAGGCGTGACTCGGCGATACCTTGCGGGCAAGCTCAGCGGGTAACTGGCGGATCGCATGTGTGAGCATCCATGCGGCACACAACGTCAACTCGTTGCAGGTGAGGTCGTGCAGCGGAAAGTTCCACGCAGCAATGCAACGTACGAGGAAACGCTCACGCGCGTGCGACACACCGAGCATCGCACGGAGATCGAGTTCGCGCGCGACACAGTCGACAAACGTGCGCGCGCGCAGCGCCGCGAACCGACCAGCTTCCATCTGCGTGTCGAGCAACGTGCGCAACACGGTGCGCACGGTTGCAACATGCAGTGGGCCACGGTTGATCTCCGGGTCCATGGCATTGAAGCTGCGGAGTGTGGCAATGCGCGTAGCGATGCCTTCCTGGTCGCGCGCGACCTGCGCCACGAGCTCCTCCATCTGCGCATCCACGAGCGCGCACGGCGCGCCCGGCGCCTGGTAGAACGGCACCACGAGCACGTTGCGTGAAAAAAAGTGCGCCTCCAAGCACACAACCTGATCCGCGGGCGCAAGCGTATCGAGGGTGTCCGCGGCAGCGGACGCGCACGCGTACGTGTCAAAAAGAACGAGTGTAATGAACGCCGCGTCAGTCTCCAGCAGCGGACACACAAAGAGGTGCGCAACGAGCGCCTTGAAAGATGCGAACGATGCTGTGATTGCAAAGTGCCGCGCCGCGGTCGCCGCTACGGTATCTGCGCCGCTAGGGGAATAGAATAAGACTTCAGTCATGGAAATGCTAGCAACGGGAACTAAGCACAAAATAGGATGGCTATTATCTTAATCGGTGGTTGACTTGGTGCTTAAAGGTGGCACAACGGTACACACGCCAGAGGAAGGGCAGATCTGTTGGGAATACGAGTGATAGAGCCACTGGAGCAGCGTTCGTATGGCCTTCGGGGTGAGAGGGTGGCGGGGACCTTAGGAGAGCTCTGGGGCGGCAGGTTTAAAAAGGAAAGCCAAGGAGGTTCAGGGCAAGTCCAGGCACGGTTGGTGATATGGATGGGAGTTGGAGCGCCAAGCAAACGGCTCTCTTCTATATCCAACATCCGAGGCTAATCTGAGCGGATTGGAGCAAGCAGAAAAAGAAACGTGAAAAAGAAACGTTACGTGGGTTTTGCACGACCAAGTGCCAAGCGCGGTGTGAGACAGCGGCTTACATAATACAGATGAAAATGGTCTAATCTATCCAGGAATAGGCTTGGGGGTGGATTTCGAAACTCAAGATACATTGAAAAATCAAGCAGATTTACATATGGTTTCAAATCTGATTGAGTTCGATGGCGAGTGAAGTTTGCATATAGTTTCCTAGCCGGAGTCTGGCCGAACGTGTGCATTCATGGAGCATATTAAGGGTTGAAATTCACTACTGGATTAAACCATCTATAATATTATTTGATACGCTTTAATGGTGATAGGGGAATATCGGCCGGAAGGAATACCCGTAGGATAAGCGTGAAATGGGTTGGGTTTGGACCTAGATGCGAGAGAAATGTATGTCTAGTACCAGATAACGGGAGTTGGAGTTAGAGCAACACAGGTGAAATTGAGCGATATGGTTTAAAATTCGTGGTTGGCCATAGCCACTGCATACTTATAGATTGAACGAGCTAGTTGTGGATATAAATAATTAGATACTAGAGCTCTCAATGCTAGATCCTTCCACGATGCGATGTGAGTATTACACATATCTTGAGTTGAGAGCGAACTTTAAATGAGCATGAGCTAAGCTGTAAGTGACTAGATCGAGCTTCGAATTTAAATTCTTGTACTTTAAAGAGTACCTAAGGTGAACTCACGATTGAAGAGACAACGGGGATGAAGAATTTGTCATGGCGTGCAACGTCTATCTGAATCATTCGTCTATCTGAATCATTCTCGTACTTAAATCCTGCCAAAGGATCCAAGTTTTGTACGCAATCCAGGCGTTGAGATCCGTTTCCTGAAATGGTGTAGGATATATTACTGTTTGGAGCTTTTGGCTTAAAATTATAATGGCTCGCGCTTGATCTTGTTATTCTCGTGTCCTCAATCACTAGGCCCAGGTATAATACCATACCATTATTAGGCGACCAGCAGCCAGGAGGTTAAAAAAAAACTTGCTACGACTGTGGGACAAACATATTCGTTAATAATTTCAGCGCCCTTGTACTTCATTAGTTGTATCTAGTTTGGCCTTTCTTATCGTCAACCATAGTAGGGTCTAATTGAATCAGTGATTCTTTTCTCCTAAAAAAGCATAGTGATCTATGCGTATAATTAGGTTTACTGTTGTATACAAGTAGGTGATAAACTTGAAAAGAACTCAGGTACAAAAAAGCGTTGACATATATGCTCTGTGTCTTTCCGACTAGTGTGATCCACTATTCTTTCCACGACCCGGAGACTGCTCTGATATGCCTCCCCCGACTCTAAAGTACGATATCTCATAAGATTTGTTGTCACCCTGCGTCTTACATTACGAGCTGGAGAGTAGGACATGCCTCAGCAATGGTTATACGCAGGAGTGGCCGTAGGTGGGCCCTCTTTGTAATGGGAGATAAACTAAAGTGACGGTCCAAATAAAGCCAGCACAAGTAGAATTGACAACCTGTCTTTATGCTGCTTTCACTCTGTCCCTTCTACGGCGTTCACGCTCGGGTTAGCGTCTCAGGCAAATATATTAATCTCACGGATAGGATTATACGCAGTAAGTGTATCACGAATGTTCTGATTACGAAAGGGTATGTTACACGTATATATTGCTAGGGTATACGTGCGCGCACCACCGGCCATGGCCAAATGCACATGAACAGAGTTACCTGGCCAAGCTGTTGTACGTTTTTGCCCAGGTCTTACGATTAAAATTAAATAAAAATATACGTGTATTCCAAAAATTAGAAGGGGGGGTAAAACAGATATACAACAAAAAGTTTGTAAGGAATAAAAACCAGTGAACATAAAAATGGCAAGTTCCCCAGATCACAAAAGCAAGAAGATCAAAATATAGAAAGCGACACCGTAAAGGGCCTAACCCACCACAGTACGAGAAATGCGGCAGCCAATAAACGAGGCTGAAAAAGGCGCAAAACAACTTCCTGAGTCGCTAAAATGCAACAGAAAGCCATGCAGAGATAAAAATCTCCAAAAGAAAAGAAATAAAATTGCGAATCGAGAAAGCGTCACCAACCAAGTCAGTGACTCAAACCAAGAAAGCACAATAGGTGGAGCATGAACGACCAGAAAAGATGTCCAAACCCATGAAAGGAGACATTCGTGTGCGAACCGCAGCAAAGGGGGTATTACTCAAACACAATGAGAAACAAAAAGAAGACATAAGACAATATCCGAGGTACTGCAACGAAAAGACAAATAAGTCATCGATGAAACAGGGGTAAATAAGCCCCAACATGGAAAATTTGCCACGACATAAACTAACGTTTACGTCAGAAGAAAAAGAATGTGTTCAGAATCGAGACTAGAACAAAATACCAAAAACAACAATGAAGACTGCACCGAAAGTGCTGTAGTTCAAAGCCAAAGAAGAAGCCTTACCCTCCAAAGCAGAGGCCGATGGGACTGCAGAAGAGGACGAACCAGCACCAGAAGTAGCGGCTGGGCTAAGAGAAACAGATGCTGGGGTACCGACTGCACCTGGGGCACCAGCTGCACTTGGGGCACCAGTTGCACTTGGGGCAACAACAGAAACAGCACCAGATGGGACAGTAGCACCTGTAACAGTGTAAGAAACAACAACGCTAGAGCCACGAATATTAACGGTAGAGGCTGTGATGTAAGTGACAGGAGTAGCAGTAGTCCCAACAGCGGTTTCGGCAACACCTGGGCTACCGTTAGGAGCTTCAGTAGCCGAAACAGCGGCGGATGGAGCAAGAGGAACGAGAGTAGTTCCGGTAGTCATAGCGCCATTGGCACCAGTAGAAACAATCGTAGACTCGACCAAAGGAACGTAGGTAGTACCAGATGAAACAGCACCAGTCACATCAGTAGAGGTAAAGACCGACTTGCTGAGTGGACAGGTAGTGGTGTAGCTAGTAACAATATCCAAAATAGTAACGGTAACAACAATCACAGTCGAAGAAGGTTCAACTGGGACAGAAGTGACAGGAACCAAGGTTGTGCCAGTCGTAACCGAGCCGTTCACATCAGTAGTAGTGTAAACAGACCCAGAAAGAGGACAAGTAGTAGTGTAGACAGTTACAGTTCCCAAAACGGTAGTGGTAACAACGATGACAGTCGAAGCTTCAACAGGGGTAGAAGTGACAGGAACCAAAGTAGTGACAGTCGTGACAGAGCCATTTGGTTCGGTAGTGGTGTATACAGAACCAGAGAGTGGACAAGTGGTAGTGTAGCTAGTGACAGTCCCCAAAACGGTGGTGGTAACAACGATGACAGTCGAAGCTTCAACAGAAGTAGAAGTAACAGGAACCAAAGTAGTGATAGTCGTGACAGAGCCATTTGGTTCGGTAGTGGTGTATACAGAACCAGAGAGTGGACAAGTGGTAGTGTAGCTAGTGACAGTCCCCAAAACGGTAGTGGTAACAACGATAACAGTAGAGCCAGTTGGAGCACCAGTGACAATGCTGGTCTCGGTAGTCAAAGAACCGTTAGAGTTGGTAGTGACAACAACAACTTCAGTTTCAGTAGTAGTAACACCGTTACTGTTAGTAGTGGTGATGACAGTAGTGAAGCTGGTACATTCTGGGCAACCAGTTGGAGCACCGGTGACAATGCTGGTCTCGGTAGTCAAAGAACCGTTAGAGTTGGTGGTGACAACAATGA